TAGGAAGAACAAATATTGTGAAAATGCCCATTCTCCCAAAATTGTTATACAAGATTTAATGTAATCCCAATCAAAATACCACTAGCATATCTCACAGTCCTGAAGAAATCATTCCTTAAATTCCTTAAATTCATCTGGCAATTCTGAGCAACAAAGGCAAGGCAGAAGGCATCACAATCCCTGACTTGAAGCTATACTACAAAGCTACTGTAATGAAATCAGCATAACACTGGAATAAAAACAGACCTGAAGATCAATGGAATAGATTAGAAGATACAACTACAACTACAAACACACTCAGCCACCTTATCCTTGATTAAGGGGCCAAACACGTTCACTGGAAGAAAGAGTCTCTTTAATAAAAGGTGCTGGAAAAAACTGGATCTCCATATGCTTAAAGTGAAAACTAGATCCATTCCTATCACCATGTGCTAAATTAAAGTCTAAATGGATTAAAGATCTAAATATTAAAACAAACACTAAATCTGCTGGAAGACAAAGTAAGTAGAAATCTTGAAGACATAGGGGTAGGTAGAGAATTCATGAACAAAAATGAGACTGCACAAGCAGTACTTCCCAGAATCAATAACCGGGATCTTGTGTTGTTAAAGAGTTTTTGCATGTCAAAAGAAATCTGCAACAGGGTAAAAAGGAAACCCATGAATTTGAAAAAATCTTAGTCAATGTCCCTCAGACAATGGACTTCCATCTAGAACATATAAAGAATTTAAAAAATCAAATCCCCAAAATTCAAAGATCCAATCCAAAAATGGGCATCTGAGATGAATACACACTTCTCAGATAAAGACATACAAATGGCAAATAAACACATGAAAAATGTTCGGCATCATTGGTTATTAGAGAAATGCAAATTAAAACCACACTGAGATTCTATCTCACTCCAGAAAAAATGGCCAGGATCAAGAAAAGTACCAACAAACAATGTGAAGATGGAGAAGCTGTAGGGAAAAAGGAACTCTCCTGCACTGTTGGTGGAAGTGACGACTGGTGTAACCACTGTGGAGGTCAGTCTGGAAGTTCCTCAAAAAGTTGGCATTGCAAGTCCCATTTGACCCAGCTACTCCACTTCTGGGCATACTCCCAGAACTGAAAACATCGTATCATAGTGATATACGTATACCCATGTTTATAGCAGCACAATTGTAATAGCCAGCTCTTCGTAACAACCTAAATGCCCATCAACTGAGGAATGGATAAAAAAGATATGGTATTTTTATACAATAGAGTAATACTCAGCTGTAAAGAATGATCACATTGAGATATTTGTAAGTGGGTGCAACTTGAGACCATACTCATAAGTGAAATAAATCCAACTCATATGAGTAAATACCATATTTACTCTCTAGTATAAGAAATGGTAGTAAGAGTACATAGGATACAAAATCCTCAATAAATACAGTGAAAGGGTAAGAATCTGCCCAAAGAGAGAAAAGTAGTATCTCAAGGAAAACGAGGAAAAAGAAAAAATATCTAAATTTGTATATACACACTTAGGATAGCTAAGATGATTGTGCTACAAATTCTCTAAGTTCGTAGAGGACAGGAGTTAACATTCATAAGACTGGAACAATTTTGCATGTTTGTGTCTGGTGACCTGAGGAACTCTTGAAGATCACTATGTAAAATATCAACCTTAGTTCTGTTCTTAGCACCTTGTTTTGAAAGCCTGTATCGTCATTGTTTTGGGCTCTTTGCTGTTGTTGTCTTTTTTGTTTCTTATTTTTCTAGTAATTTTGTTTTGTTTTTTGTTTTTCCCTCTACTACAGAAAGGATACGTATATAGGTAGAGGCTTATACATGCCTAGAACTTCTCCTAAACAGTTTGCAAGAATCGATTATATTATGTGTGATGAAATGAACAGCTACTTTGAAGAAAAACAGACATTATGATATCCATTACTGATTCTGTATCTTCATGCCGTGAAATCTAGTAATGCTTCTATTCTTTGTTCAGAGTGGTTTTAGTCTGTTTTGTATTGTTTGATTTCAACATACATAAATAAAGGTATGGACAGCTATTTTGAAGAGAACAAGAGCCATTATGGCAGTCATTGTTGATTTTCCTATTGTCTGGTTTTGAAGGCCTCTAATGCCTTCATTACTCTGTTCTGATCAGTTTTATACTACTTTGCTTTGTATGAATTCATTGTGTGCGAAGATATAGACAACTATTTAGAAGAAAACAAGAGACATTATGGGAGCCACTGTAGATATCCTGCTGTCTTCCTTTGAAATCTGTGTCACTTACATTGTTTTCTTCTGATCTGCTTTGCTCTGTTCTATTATGTTTAGTTTTACCCTTCTTAAGATTAAAAAAAAATCAAAAATAAGCAAATTCCTGAACATATGCTTGTATTTAAGTATAATAGGCAAAGATATCTATGGATTAACTATACATACATGACTGCAAAAAAATAAGGCTTCAAAGGACATACACAAATCAACAGTGGCTCTCTGGGGAAAGAGCAATGAAGAAGAAAGATAAAATGTGAAATCATATCAGGAGGGGTCAACACAACTTGTCAGATTATTCTTCTCAGTGGCAGATGAAGTCGAATTCTAGAATGAACACTGGTTTCTTTTTTGGAAATCCAGGGAGACTGTAATATAAGCAGAGAAAAGAAATAATCATAGAAAAAATAGTGGAGGATGAGGCACAGTGATTATTCTGTTTTATGCATGCTAACTCTAAGGTATCAGTGGGTACACAAATGCCAATCTTAATTCAATCACTGAATACATGAAGCTTAAGTTATAGATGTGGTGATACAAATGAAATGGCCCAAGATAGAACTGTAGACACCTGGCAAAATGCCACCCCTTGCCTCCACAGCAGACATGGCTAACGGACTCCAGACGGACTCCAAGCATCTTGGGTAAAATCCATTTGCCATCTCTGACCTAGGGAATTCATCTAGGGAATTCATACAGAAAGATAAGAAAGCCACAAATAAAACCTCGTGGTGCTTCAATATTGAAGAGCATTCAAAATGAGAAAGGGCAGGTCAAACAAAAAGGAAAAGGTACATATTCAAATATACAGAGATAATTATACAGGCCTGCCCCTTCACAAGACTAGCACAGTCCTATTTGGGAAACTCGCTTTCACAGATGTAAGAAGAATGATCACATAATTTATTGTCTAAAATGGAACACTTAATATTACACAAAGAGAGACACTAATAATAGTCGTATCAAGACAATCCCTACAAATATTAGAGATGCAGAGAAGAACCCTATCGGTGGACTAACACACAGAAATAATGTGAAATGCTATGGCTGATTACAATGCAGATGAGGGATTTGAGGTTTATCTGCCTTTTCTAATAATCATCTTTGTCATACTCCTTGCCCTGTCATCTATTTATCTAAATGTTACTGGTCATACAAAGTTAATTACTGGCTCAAAACAACTGTTAGCAAGCAAAAATTAACTGTCCAGACCCATAGTAAGGTCCCCATGGTGGACTTCTATTGCAGATATTCTGAATTTTATGCAGAATGATAATTAAATGTCCTCTGATTATTCCATATATACTAATTTATTAGCCAGATTACATTTTTATTTTCAGACAGACTCAAAATAACAATGTTCCTGAATGCTTTGCCATTGGGGAACCTGATCACTGTTAGAATTACTCCACATAAATTATCTCAAATACTGATATTTTCTGCACTGATCAATAATTTTTGTGCCATTACCTCTTCTGTTCTTACCTAGTAAATGCATCCTTTTCCCATTTCATTAACTCTGCTCTCAGGCTTCCTTATTTATTGCTCTCAGTTCACCCTCCTCACCCAGTGTAATCATTTTCCATCAGCAAAAATTTACTGAAGGCTTAATCTCTGTCAAGTGTTCTGTTACACAGTGAAGATACAAAAATGACATATAGAAACTGGTCTTAACGAACAGACAATTTCATAAGACAATGCATATGAAAATCAATGCAATACAATGTGATTGGTACTATAATATAGCAACATTCAAATAAAAGGAACAGCAAAGGAAGAATACAATTTCCTGGAAGAAACAGGAACCAGTCTTATAGGATGATGAATGGAATGAGCCAGATGGAACCAGGAAGAGGAATACAGCTGGATTTAAGAGAATAAAAAATAGTTCAGAAGGTCTGTGTGCAGAAGCCCTAAAATGAAATAGGGAAATGCCTCAAGGAATTACAAATAATTCAGAAAGGACAGAGTGTAAGCCATAGGAAAAAGCAGCCTATCATGAGCTGAAAAAGTAGGCAGATCTCAGCAGGCTGTCCATGCCATGTAAAGTTGAAGAAGTTGTTACATTCCTATAGAAAAATGGATGATGGGCTCACATTTATTTGTGCTTCACAGAGACTTCCTAGAAAACGGGTGAAGACAGACTAGATGGAAATGAGAATGGAAGCAGAGAGAACAAATCAAGGTCACTATCTGCCAACACAGATGATGAGGTCATGGCCTATGATGGGGATAAAAGGGTAGGGAAGAGGCTGATTCTAGAATGTAAATGTAAGATGTAGGGAGACAGACTCGAGGAACACTTGGATATTAAATGTGCATTAGGAAAAAAAAGAATCCTGAAAAGCTTAAATTTTCAGATTGAGGAACCTGGTGGAAGCCACGAACTGAGATAAAACACTGAGGAAAAAGCTCAAGAACAGCTTTGAGGAGCTGAGACAATAGTCCGGTTACCTCTGAGTTTGATGGACAGTGTAGTGATGTAATCGAGCTAGTACATAATTCTAAAGTGAAGTAGAATGATCTTGATGCTTATATACAACTTTAGAATTACTAGGCAATTCAAACTAAGGGAAAACTGCTTGGGGATAAAACCAGAGTGTGACAAAGAATCTTCTTAGAGTTCAGAGGAGAATAAGAGCAAATAACTCAGACCATGAAGTGAGGGAAGTATGAAGAGAAAGAGAAAATGTAGCATCATGGGATGGGAAGAATGTAAAGCGGAGTGGTCAGTGGGGCAGCCTTACCTCTGATTCTTCCTGTAGCCGCAGACAGTTATCCAGAAAAAGAAGTGATCGGTCCACAGACTTTCTGGCTCTTTTTATGGAAGTTCCTTCCTCACAAGATGCCTCCCCATCTGCAAGGCACTGGAACCAGTCTGGCTGAAGGGCCTGCTGAATTGCCATGAACTTGGAAACGGTAATTTCTACTCTTCCTCCACCACCCCATACAGATGCAGACTGCATAGAACAAGACGTGAGGAATCAGTAAGGTATACACAAATTAAAAGAATGTAATAAAATGGCAAAGTATAGTTCTTTATAACTGGAGAGATGTGAGTCCATATCCTAGACATGGTGGGGAAAAAAAGTTACACTATATCAAAAATTCTCTAAGAAACTTATAGCTCACACAGAGTCCTTCAACGGACTTCTGAATTGGCCCCCAAAGAATTCTGTCACAATTTTCTAGCAAATCTTCCACAGTCCCTTCTCCCATCTTCCTTCCCTGACCCCACCCTTGCTGGCCTGGATAAACCACAGACTTTGATTATTCTTTGTTTTTGATCACATTATTTCTTTTGATTGAAATGCCCTTCTAATTTTTTGCCTGGAAAAATACTACATACTCTTTAAGAAATTGAGTTTAAATATCATCTCTCGTGACTTCTCCCAAACTTTCTTAGACATAATCAATTGCTCAAACTCCTACAGCAATTTGTACTTATTTCTTTCATAGGAAAGACAACACTTATCATAGCATCTTACATTTGTCTAGAGTATCACAATTCACATCTGTATCACTAAAGCATAGTCAAGGACCCCACACATTAATAATAATAATAAGCATTTTGCTACTTGTTAGGCCCCAGGTAGATAACAGAAGCATATGCAAAGCTATCAACCCCACAGTTCATGAGAACCTATATAACTGTTATGCCTCACACTGCACAGGTGAAGCTTTTCAGAGGTAGCTATATCTAGAGTGCATGATGCTGGGATTAAGGAGGTGATGCCGGGTTGATCCATTGTGTGATGCGGTGATTAAGGGTCCCCTACCCAAGATATTGGTACAACCCATCCTTAGGATAGACTATCAAGAACAGAAACAGGGCTGCTGTCTTGTGCTGCTTCACTATTTGGTTGCCTTCTGCCTACCATAAACTGTTTCTCCTCTGCCATGCCACCCTGCCTTGGAGTTAACCAGCTATAAACTTAAACTTCCACAAACTGTGAGCTACAGTAAACCTTTCTTCCATTTACTTTGAGTGTCGGGTATTTTGTCTCAGCAATGAGAAAAGTAACTAAAACAATCATATTCCATCTTTGGCTGCTCTTTCCTCTAAGCATCTCTGCTCTTTGAAGATATACCAAGAACATATATGGAGAGGCCACATACAGTCTTTCTAATACTAAGGCAAAAGAATACTGTTTAGGGCTGGGGATTTAGCTCAGTGGCATACGTGCCTGCTTGGCAAGCACATGGTCATGAGTTCAATCCCCGGTACCACAAAAAAAAAAAAAAAAAAAAGAATACTGCTTAAATGAATCCTCTCTCCCTGTTAAATGGTGTGAATAACAGGTCAAAATATTTTCTTTTGAATTCAAGTTAGAAAATAAAAGTAAACAAAACAAAGTAACTGAAAATAGTGTTTTTGTTGGTGGTCATGTTTTTCATTTTGTTTTGCTCTTTTTTTTTTTTTTTTTTTTTTTTTGGTACCGGGCATTGAACTTGCGACCGTGTGCTTAAAGGCAGGTGCTTATGCTGCTGAGCTAAATCCCCGGTGCTTGTTTTGCTTTTGCATACTGGAGATCCACTTCAGGCCCTTTGCACTGAGCTACATTCTCAGACATTTGCTTGAGTCAGGGTCTCACAAAGTCTTTAAATTGCCAGGCTGAGTTTCAATTTGCAGTTCTCTGACCTCAGCCTCCTAGAATGCTGGGATTATAGGTGTGTGCCACCATACCCCGACTTGAAAATAGTATTCAAAAGCATAATCAAGAGATATCATTAACATCAGTGAAGCGAGGGCCAGAAAATGGTGCATTCGTAGAGCACTGGAGGTCTTGCCTGAACAAAAACTTTTAATGCAGCCCTTTCGATACTGCTCTTCACTAGCTAAAATTTCTCGCTGCAGATCCAGCTTTTTCTATTCTGTTCTACCAGCAAGCAGTATTATACTGAGGTCTTACTATATATAGTTTTACATGTGATAACACTTATCAGCAACTTTTCCACTCTCTCTGAAGTTGTTAAAACTGCAAATAAAGCATGATATCAATGATTACTGTTTTCTCCCATCATAGCAATTTCTTTTTTTGGCATGTGCTTGACTGTTCTCTATCTGTAATTTTTTTGTGACAACAAAAACACTGGGAATAGACCCTTCACCTTAACTCATTCTTAGGCAGCCATACTCATTTTTATAAAACATTCCATCCTGTTAAAATTATCAAAATAGAAGACATAAAGAAATCATCACAGATAGATCCTAGCATCTGAGAGATATAAGACAGGCTGACTAACTGGGACAGAGCTACAGCCTTGGAGGCCTTTCTGAGAACATACCTTATTTGTTACATAACCAGCTGGGCAGGGGCTGACTGGATCATGCAAGGAGCAGTATAGAAGCATTTCTGGCATCCCTGTGTAAACATGAAAGAACCACCGAAAGTGCTTCCATCAATTACACTGAGTCATAACAGGAAATAGCTTTATAGTGCACAAAGATGGACAAGGTAACTCTGATGACAGTAAGTGTTGGTACCCGATCTTGGAATTATAAGAGGCCTATCAACATGAATAAAAACACTGCTTGGAAAATTATTAATCTCCAAGAGGAATTAAATATAAACATTTATGTCTAACGATGCAATGTGCTCTTGCAAAGAAAAAGTATTTTATAATATGAGGTAAAATGACAGTATTTAGTGACATGTTGAGCTTACTTGATTTCATATAAAGAATTTAATATCATATATATTCATCTGAAGAAGTCTCCAAAAGGAACTAGCTACTAGAAAAGTGAAATAATAATGTCGTTAATAATATATATGGTTCCCTAAGGGGCAGAATTATAGGAAGCTGTAGGATATTGAAAATAGATCTTCATTTCAGTATGTTTTATTGATTATAGTTTCTTTAGCTTCTTAATGAAAAAAGACAGTCACTTTTTCAAAATCCAAAAAATGATTAGTAAACCATGTGTGTTTAAATTTCACATGTTACCCCGCATTTTCCATAAGACAAAAATAAACAACCAAGTTAAAAACTTCTGCAGCTCCCCACCTTATTTTCCACAATTTCAGTTATTACAATTATCTCTAAATAGCTTATATTAGCTACTTTCACATAATTATATGCTTGCATACTTTAAAGCTGGTGATTATACTTGGCCTCAAATCAAGATGAATGATTATATAAATCCTTTACTGAAACAACAAGTCATCATGCAATTTCCTTCAGAAGTAGAAGACTGAATAACCAATGGAAACAGAGTTTTAATGCACCAGAGTCCTAGATACTAAGAAAGAACTTTAAGAGAAAGTGGTCCATGGAAGAACTGGTTCTCTAGTTGTCATCCCTAAGCTTTTGTTGTAAATAGACATATATATTTGCATATAAAATTCTATTTCTGGAACAGAACAAGATGCTAACATATCAGAAGACAGCTGTGCATAAACTCTTCATCCTGCTGGATGACTAAGCTAAGACATGACTGACTGCTCTGGATCTCATGCATACTCAAGTACTCACCTCTGGCCTCTGCTCAGTGCCAGGAGGTCTGCCCACACCTGTCTACCACCATGGATGCTCCCATGTCACAATGCACACACAATAACTTAATTAATCTTTACCTATAAAGTTTCCAACTCCTTTCTTATATTCTGCCAAGACCTCATGATGCTCTGCTCTGTAGGTAAAACAAAGAAATACGTTAACACAATAATGAATTATTTTATAGATACTATATACAATGGATCATTTTATAGATACTATATACTATATACTTTTCTCCTCACCCAAATAAGCTCTAAGACAGTAAATATGTCTTTAAAAACCAAGTACAACAATACTCCAGAGACTTGACTAATTAAGCTAGCTTCATTAGTCAAAATCAAAGTTTTCAATTTGTAAGTGGGTCTGCAAGAAGAGAAACTGTTTGAGTTATTTGGATTTTCTTCCTTTTCTTGCCACTTTAAAATTACTTATTAACACAGTATTGCAGTTATTTCATCAGATAGCAGGTTCTTCAAGTTAGTATAAAGATAAGTCTGTATATTAGTGAAAATGGTGTTACTCTGTTAGTTCTGCTTTCATAAAACAGAAGCTGAGTAACTCTGAGGCTAGTGCCTGATGACAGCACCTAACCTCTAAGTTTAGCTCTCATAGAGCACTCCCTGCCTTGGTACATCAGGGTGCAAGACTAGGAAAGTAGTACAGAGCTGCAAATTTGGAGAAAAAGTAAAGCAGAGCTAAATTAGACGTCTAACCTGTGGTTAGATTAGGGTTAAAAGACATATAACATCTGATACCTGTCAAGATCTACAAATTACACATATAAACAAAAAAATCCTTTCTTTCTCATGCACATAACCAAGGTATCTAAGCTGTACTTGAGGCAACAATTGAACGATGGTCTCATACTTACAGGGATGAGAGCGTAAGCTGGGCCATGGCAGGAAGCCCATGGATATTATGTAGGGTGTGATGGGTCAGGTGTGGGGCAGAGCCTGTCTTGGTATACAGAAGGCAGCCTGGAATGTCCATGCTGTGGTTTTCTGTTTTGCCCAGGTTTTGTATTTTTCCTAGACGACAGCCATTGACTACCTTGGTAAGATTTAGCTTCATCCTTAGGGATTTCTCTAGGTACTGACAAGAAGAGAACATTAAATTTAGAAGGAGTTTTATGATATCCAAAAGGTAAGGATTTTGCAAAGAAAGCAACTTACAGAAAATTGAATGGTAATATGTTTATTATTATTTCCAGACTATGTTTAGTGGGGGGGGGGGGGAGATGTTAATCAGGAGTGGGAGAACAGAAAAAGACACAGAGAAACTAAGATACTTCCCTAAGACTTCAACTGCTTTTAGATTTAGACATGGAACATATATCAGAACTGATAAAAACCAAACAATTACAAGTATGAAAAGAATGCCAAACGTTGAGCAGTGGCAGTATTGTAACCAATGAGGTTTATCCAAGGTGCAATTATTGCTAGTTGAAAAGAAGACCATGACACCCAGGTGTACTCTAAATGTGTACTTGAAAATGTGTATAGAGAAAGGTTGTACTGCTCGGGTACTGATCTGAACTATTCATTGCTTTCTCCAATTTGGAAGAATATTACTACAGCAATTTTTCCTACTAATATTATTTAGTACACAGATTTCCAAATAGCATTCTGGTACTTGAAAGATAAACAGAAATTATCTCCAAGGGAAGATTATATTCCATTTGTTCTCATATAGTATCCAAACACAGGTGAGAAACTACATGAAGCATATGTAAAAGCACAAGCAATTTTTCATTACTTTTGTAATTGGCAAAGACAAGCTTTTGTTTACAGAAAAAGAGATCTTTTCTTACATAATGGGGAAAAGAATAGAAAATATCAATTATTTGTTGGATTCTGCCAAGTAATTAGTTTTCAGTATGGCAAAATCCTGGGTTACTTTTTAAAGTGTATTACAGAACTTGATAAGCAGGGATGGCAGATTATTTGCAAAATATTGGATATAACCAACATTTCACAAACAGTTTATTATATTTTTTATAATAACTATAACAATTTTTATTATTTTTATTTCTCTCCCCCCCAAACTTATGGCTTCATTTCTCCAATTTATTAATAAATTTACACATACACACTATAAGCACCGTACCCTCTGGAATACCTGCCAAAGGCGCCAGGCCAATTTTTAGTAGTAGATAAATGATCACAAGTATCTGTGATACAACCTTAGAGCCTACTCATACATTACTCTGAAAGCCAATCATTGTTTAAGAGACTGCTAAAAAAAACAAACAAACAAAACAAAAAACAAGTTGTAATACAATAGTTTGGATCTGGACCATCCTCCCAAAGGCTTTTGTGTTAAAGATTTGGCCATCTGAGATGGTGATATTTTTGGGAGGCGGTGCAAACTCTAGGAAGCCGGTCCTGGTTGCAGGAAGTGAACAGTTTTGCTCTGCCATGTACTTCTTACTATGATGTTCTGCCTCACTGCAGATTCAAAGTGATGGGGCCAAATAAACATGGCCTGAAAACTGTGAAACCATCGCCAGAATAAATCTTTCATCTGCATAAACTGAACAAATCAGGTATTTTGTCACAGCAATGCAAAACTTTCTAATACTTAAGTAGTACCTAACATTAGTTAAAAATATTTAAGAAACAAAATGTTATATTTTTAGGAGGCATAAATTGTTATATTTAAATAAGACAGCCATTATAGTAATCAGAATCTTAGACATAAGAATAACTACTAGAAAGTAGTAGTAGAAATATGATCCAGTAAGAGACTTCATGTTACATAGAAATTATAAAACTTAGTGTATTTGAGAAAAGTCTATCACATCATTATTTCAAGTTATCATAAATGTAGAAACATAAAAATAATTATCGTTGGTACCCATGGAAATAGAGACTATTAAGAGAAAAAGTTACGTTTTAGCAATAAATAGTATAACAGCTATTTAAAAGAAAAATTTTATTCCTCCAAATTATACAACTATAGGCTAATAAGAATGTAATCTAGAAAATATAAGAGAAGACTCACAGTCCTTATTTAACCTATTACTACTCATCTCACATGTTAAAAGTGTATTTTATATTTTAAACCAACAGAGTTCTGAAATCATTTGGTAGCAAAATTCCAGACAGTAGTTTTCAGTCTAAGTTAGCTGCACAGAATTGAAGCAGGAAGAAGTACAAAGACAAGAAATGTACTGTAAAGCTGATGAATCCAGCACCTGTTATTCTTACTAAAGATTAGAATCAACTAACATGCAGAACTACATTTTGGAAACGCAAGAACTAATGAAAAGTTAACAGACTGGGGCGGTGCGGTAACTTACACACTTCCTGCCCTCACACACATCTGAGAATGGAAGAAGCCATTTAAAAGGAGGTATTTCAGAACGGCCTAAAGGTTAGAACTTTAAGGAACTCCCTTTACTCCAGAAATTCTGCCTTGACCGGGGGTTTAACCCAGTAGTGTAAGTGCCTGCTTGGCAAACGCGAAGTTGTGAGTTCAATTCCCAGTACCAAAAAAAAAAAAAAAAAAAAAAAAAGGGAATTCTGTCTTATTTGAATTGTTTAGGGTATAAAAAAGATTAAATGTACACATGAAGTTTTTGGGTATTCTGGTTTTGTTTTTGAATTACAGTCTTGCTCAGTAAACTCTAGAGGGCCTCAAACTCACTGTCTTTCTGCCTCAGCCACCCAAGTGCTGTGATTACAGGTGTGCACTACCATGCCCTGCTACAACAAGTTGTATTTTTTATTTAAATTCATAGAAAGATAGAAAGCACCTTTACCAGGTAAAGCTAGTGTATTTGAAAAATTTATATTCTAGAATGCTACCAAGTTTTATTATTATGGCATCATTTCTCCAATTTTATTAATTAGCAACATAAATGACTGACAAAGCATCTGATAAGCGTGACATAGTTTTCCATGCTGAAGTAATTCAGTTGCAGGTGAAAATAGTAACTACGATGCTTTCGGAAACCTATGCTTACTTACTTTTATTGTTGTTTTGTTTTGTTTTTATTTATTTTTTGTGAAGTTGAAAAGCCTTGGAACACACATAAAATATATAATATAGTTAATGTATAGAAGTGACAAAACTTCCTTTGTCTTTTATATTTCTTATAACATTCTTTAAAAAAGAGAATAACAAAAAGGTGGGCTGCAGGTCAGATATGGCTGGTAGGTATTCAACAAAAAGGCTGTGCTCTTCATATTATATGTTTTGAGTTAGAGTAAATCTGACAGGTACAAGACATATTCTGATTTTTTAAAAAGCATCCTATCATGTACCATGGCTACTCCAAGAAAAAAGTTGATTTTTCAAAATTGTATGTGAAATCTGCAAAGCATGTCTTCCTTCCAAGAACTGTGAAACATCATAAAAATTAAACAGCAAGCTGTTTGACCTGTACCAACAGAATGACACATATACTCAAAGAATGGCCACCACCTCCTTAATCCTCAAAGGCCTCACAGGCCACCAGTCTTGGATCTGGTCTGCCGGAAAGTTATGAATCTGATCTTGTCCACATACCCAGCATAGACCTATTACTTAGGGACAGGCTCATATGATCAACCTCAGAAAATAAACAACAAAATCAGATTATATTCGCTAAAAACAACAGAACAGCAAGAAAGTAGATCACTTAGTGCATTCTTGCCCAGCTGTATACTATTTGGGAGGTCAAATATAATGTTATGCATACAAAGAATCAGAAGATTACTTAACAATTATATAGACACATGCAACTAAAAGGAAGTCCACAGGTTTTCTAAATACAGCAAGCTTAGCTTCTTCAAATTTGGACACAGGTTTCTCCAGGAGTATATATGGTAGCTAGACCTGGAACCGCAGTCTCTCAGCTGTCAAAACTCATCTTTCCCTTGGGGATTTCTCAGTTCTTTCTTTGAATAAGGAAAGAATAACAGTTTAACCACTTAAGAGAGGAGCCTGAAGAGTAATCTGCCATCCCTCAATCTCAAAGCATTTCTCGTCTCCCTCTCTTATACTTTCCTCAATTGAAGAAGCAGCATCTTTCTTTCTTAACTCAAGGCTTGTCCTTATATGTCCTTGCTTCCTCAAGAGACTCCTAGCATCTGTTGTTTGTTTTGTTTTGAGACAGGGTCTCACTTTATCGTGCAGGCTGGCCTTGAACTCCCAATTATTCTCCGGACTCTGCCTCCTTAGTGCTGGGATTACCGGCTGGGCATCCATTTTTTGATGTACTTTAGAGACGGACTCTTGCTATGGTCACTTTCCTCCTCACTGGGACAGAACACCCAACACCCACAACTTTAAGGACAATATATTTTTGGCTCATGGCTTAGTCCTCAGTCAGCTGGCTCTAAGACAGAAACAGCCTGATGAACATCATGGTAGAAAGAAGCTGCTCTCAATCTATGGGAGCCAGGAGAGTGAAGGGAGGCACCAGGGTGGGAGATACCGGCTTCCAGATTAGGTTCCTAATAGCACATTCAGTTACGAAAGCATCAGTGAATGAATTCATGAATATGTCCTCATGATATAATCGCCTTCCAAAAGTACCACTTCTGAACACATATAGCTTTGGAAGACACTCAATATATGAACATAACAGTTCTTGCATAACACTTTAATCCCAGGAATTTAATACCCATAACTTTAAAGATCCAATTTAAATCCTTAGTCTAGCATACTGAATACAACAGGTAAGCTAGACAGAAACGCTTACTTGTGTTCTTTTATACTACAAGACTTTGATGCTGTGTGCTCATATTCTGATGTAGGAATTTTTCTTAAAAATTCTGCCCTAATCATGGTAATCCAACATGTTGGTGAAGGAAAAAACTAATCAAGGAAAAGCAGAAAACTGGGTTTAAGAAAAAATATTATAAAAGATAAACTACTATATGGTCAGTGAGTATTAGGAAATCTGAGGGCTGTATCAGAGCATGTGTTCAGCTGGAGGTTAGCATTTAAAACTACAAAATGGAATTTATTCAGGGCTACAAGAACCAATCCGTCCTTTACTCATTCACTGTTCAATGAAGCACACAGTAAAGTTTTTTCTTTGGTTAGGTAGGGAGCGAAACCAGGGCCTACACATTAAACTACCTCCTAGGCTTTTCAATTCTGAGGCAGGGTCTTGCTAAGTCCCTAAACTGCTCCGGCTGGACTTGCAGTCCTCTTGTCTCAACTTCCCAAAGCACTGGCAGGGATCACACACCTGCGCCACCATGCCCAGGATTAAACAGTTTCATAATTGATCTTCTTTTCTGTTTTTCAAAATCAAGTTTTTATTATGAAGTGACATACACAAATATGGATACACACATACAAAAATATTCACGTATATGTTTTTCAAAATATGTTTAGGAATGCTTCAATGAATCGAAGCAAAGTTCAAGAAACTGATAAATGGTCTCTAAACTTCCCAGTTTTATTTGCCTTTGTAATCATTTGTTTTTCTTTTGCTTTTTCTGTATTTTGTAATTCTGTTACTGTGTTTTTCAGTTTACTTCTATAGATGGAGTTCTGGAAAAGTCTTAAGAAAAAAATCATTAAAGTGCCAGGGCAAACGGAAGGCTGTCAGTTTATTTACATGTATATATTTAAGGGCTAAAAAAATTTCCTTGTGCCTTTCAGAAAAACAAAGCAAGTTCAAATGAATAACCTAATAGGCACCTCAAGGTTCTAGAAAAGCAAAAACAATCCAAATCCAAAGCCAGTACAAGGAAGGAAATTATAAGGATCAGACCAGAAATCAATGAAGTTGAGACAAACAAAACAAAACAAATACCACCAAAAAAGTCACAAAGACTCACTGAATTGAACAGTCGATTCTTCAAAAGAATAAACAAAAGAGACACATAGCCAATTCTACCAAAAAAAAGAGAAAAAAACCAATTAAATATAATTAGAAATTTAAAAAGTAAAACCACAATGGACACTTCCAAATCCAGAAGATATTATCAACTATTTTGCAAACATCTGCACCAATAAATTGGAGATTTCAGAAGCAATGGCTAGATTCCTAAACACATACCAATTATCAAAACTGAACCAAGAAGATATAAAAGCCCTGAATGATCCAAGGATAGGCGGTGAAACTTAGGTAGTAATACATAACCTACCAGCTAAGAAATCCCCAGAAATCCTGATTATTTCACTGCCAATTCTACAAGAATTTCAGGGATGATCTAATGCCAATACTCTTCAAACTCTTCAACAAAATCAACAAAAGGGTAGGAGTAGTCCCAAAGTCATTCCTGGAAGCTACCATTACTCTGATTCCAAAACCAGACAAGTGTTCAAGCAAGAAAAGAGAGCTCTATGCCAATCTCTTCAATGAGATACCGGCAAACACAACACAACATACTATCAAAAAGATCATACATCATAACCAAGTAAGCCTCATCCCAGGGATGCAAGGATGGTTCAACATATGCAAATCAATAAATGTAACACATCACATACAAAGAAAGATAAAAATTATATGACCATCTAAACAGACATAGAAAAAACATTTGACAAAATCCAATCTCTATTCATAACAAAAACCTTAAAGAAAATAGGTATAGAAAGACCTTATCTCTATCTTATAAAAGACATTTATGACAAACATACTGCCAACATCATATAAAATATGGAAAAAACTTACTTCCCCTCTACCCATAAGAACAGGACAAGAATGTCCACTATTATCAATCCTGTTCAACACAGTCTTTGAAACATTATGCAGTCAAGAGAAAGAAAAGGTATGAAGGAAGAAGTCAAATTTTCATCTGAAAAATTTCCTCTACATAGGAGATCTACAATTAAAACTACAGTACTCTGAAAAAAAAGGAGATCAAAGAGAGAAAGCCATCCTCTGTTTCTGGAAAAACAGAACTAATACTGTCTAAAAGATCATACTTCCAAAACTGATATACAATGCTAATACAATTTCAATCAAAACATCAACAGTATTCCTTACCAAAATAGAGTAAACAATTCTAAAAATTTATATGGAGCCAAAGGAAACCCAGAATATAAAAATGATCCCGGGAAACAAGAGTAAAGCAAGAGGGACCACAATCTCAGAGCTCAAGCTATACTACAAAGCTACTGTGATAAACAGAATTGCACTGTCATAAAAACAGATATGTGAATCAATGGAACAGAACAGAGGATGTAGAAACAAACATATTTGGCTGTTTCATTTTAGACAAAAGGGCCCAAGGATATACAGTGGGAGAAAGATAGTCTCTTTAACAAATGGCACTGGAAAACTCAAATATCCACACACAGAAGACTTAATCTAGAATCATGTATCTTACAATATACTAAAGTCAAAATGAGTCGAAGATCTAAATTTTAAAACAGAAATATTTAATCTGTGTCTTGAGTTACTTTTCTCATTGTTGAAGCTAATACCTGATACTCAACATTAAAAGGGGAAAGGTTTATTTAGTTGACAGTTTGTAGAGGTTTCTTTAATGGCTTCTATACATACTGTCACAGAAAGATGTCTAAACCTTGCTAAGAGGCTAAAGTAAGCTCGTGTGATCACATTTTCTGTAAAAAGAAATTTATAAATATTTACAAGTACACATCCATATCTCCCCATGTCTTCCACACAGTCTCTACAATAATTATATATACACAGAAAAAAGTCTGATGGACTTCTAAATAATATGGTACACTGAGCATACTCAGCAATGACATACAGAAATGATAAAAACTGTAAAAACAGTAAAAAATGAGACTATTCACAGGAATCTATTGTACAATTCTTACATTATTTGGTAAGGGAAAAGAGATACTGAATAATGTTAAACTTTGTTGTTTATGTGTTTAAAGTTTAGAAACAAACTTTAAAAAAGTGACAGAATGAATAATCTCCAAACATATTATAAAAATTGATGAGAATGAGATAAAACTAATTCATCCAATGAAGACTAGAGAGACCAAATAAAGCACAACAAAAATAGAAAATACAAATTAAGATGGCAGAGGTCAAATGTCACTGATAATAAAGTCACAGTAATTTCTCCTATTGAAAAACACAATAGAAGTAACTAATAAATTTATGAAGTATTTACCATGCATCAAGTATTGTTCTTTATATATTAATTTCATTAACCCTCATATCAAGTGTACAACATACATGCTATTTATTATTATCTGTATTTTACAAATCAGGGAATAAGGCTAACAAAGTCACCAGGGAAGTGGCAGAGCTAGTATTTATAGTAGTCAAGCTAGTGTGGTGGTGCATGTCTGTAATTCTAGACCTTGGGCACTTGAAGCAGGAAGACTGAGATGAGTTCAAAGCTAGCCTGGGATACATCATGAGTTTAAGGCCAGTCACATAATGAGACCCTGTTTCAAAAAATCTTAAATAAACAAATAAATAATGGAAGTCTTGCTTTAGAGCTGAATGATTACTTATTAACTGCAATATTACTTATTGCTTACTTATTAACTGCAATATTAAGATAAATTTTTGACATGGTTCCAATTTTGCTACAGCATTATTTGTGCACTTCTTTTCCCTTCTCCCTCCTTTGCCTCTAATCCATTCTCCCAGTCTCTACAACTTTTTTTCCCGTATTCACTGAAGCATTTAAATATACTTGTTTATGGAAGGGAGGTTACTTTTCTATGGGAAGGAGATTACTTTTATAGAAATGGAAACTTCTTCATTTTGTTTTTCTTTCAGAAATACACAATGGATATCTATCCCAAAGAAGAGACATGGAACTTAATTTTACCCTTTTAAAAGAACGACTTCGTGATATGTCATAGTTTGAATGTAACACAAATTATTTAACCTCTCCGTTTCTAGTGGACATTTAACAGGAATGGTCCTAGGATCACTTCAGCCTCTGAGCGCAGTTTCCCTAACCTCGTTTTCCACCAATTTAAAGTGAACTTTAACTTACATCTGATGGCTTTGTATTGATTTGTCAATGAGAAAAACTGAGTCTGACAGTAAGTTGCTGGCCCAAAACACCAGATGTAAATCTCCACTCTGCTTCATAAACTCATATATAAGTGAGTGGACTGTTCCTGACATTCAAGCTTAGCCAATAATCTTGAACTTGTTTACCTGAAAGGCTTCTCTGGGGCCCCAGACTCGCTAAGAGCCTAGTCACACGAGAACATCCTGCCCTCCCAAGTACCCTTCAGTTTAGAAAAAAATCTCCTCTGGGAACTTAACCAGAGGCCTGTTTCAAGAAGGCCCTTTGCTTTCAGAGATGTCAGCGACGCTCAAATGATTTGAGAGTATTCGAACTTGCAGAAGCCAAGAAACAAAAAAAGGAGGAACGTATAAACCAGTAAAATTGCAAATCTGTAACATAACCAGGAAGGGCCTACGCACCACGTGATTCGTTCATGCCTTGTAGCCCCGCGTTAGCAAAGAATAAGAGGTACCTACCGGCAAACCTCCCAAGTCTCTGGAACCCCCAAACTCCCAACCACGTGTCCTGCTCTCAGAATTCTCAGTCCCCCCCTTGAACCACCGCCTCCAACACAGAGCCAATCAGGGAGCAGTACGTCATTACTAAGGGCCAAAAAGAAGTTGAGGTCCTTTGAAAGCAAACCAGGTTGACCGTCGCTGTTGCCGTGGTAACTGAGCGAAGCATTCTGACTGCGCAAAGCCCTCTGGGAGTAGTGGTTCTGGGCGTACAACGCCGGCTTTTCCTGAGTGAGTATAGGAACTACAACTCCCAGAACAACACGGAAACGGCGTGGGTAGAGGAGGAGCGGTTGTTGCTGCTTTGGCCGGGCTCGGGCCTTGAACCTGGAAAATGCAGCTGGCGCCACAGGAAAGGTCCACCTCAGGGAAGAGCAGGGGCCTGAATCGCTGGAAGCGGTTTACAAGGAAGCCAGATTTTAAGGTGATCCGTATCGGGAGCTTAACGAGGCAGGGACAGGCCTGAGATGCTCCCCAGTCCGGAATCCAGCCGCTGCCCTCTCGTCCTTCCTCCCTCTTCCATTCAGGGCATACTTACCTGGCCTTGACTGCACCAACGCCAACATTGCCCTCAAAAAAGTAGTTCTAGAAGCAGCAGGGTCTCTGTACCTCTAGTGGGCGGCATCGTGAAAGAGCTGTTTCCATCTAACGCTTTTTCTAAAACCCTGGAGCTCTGGTAATACCCATCAGAGTGAAGGAACTTCGCGGGCTTGGCCCTCTCCCACTCCTGTCACCAGTTTTTGGAAACGTCCTGCATATTTCAGTTTTTAAAAATGTGTTGCAAATCTGGAGCAACTAATTTTTATTTAAAAGAAGAAATCACGTTTTGAATGCTCTATTTATATGCCTTCCCTTCCAATTTTACGTAAACTATCCGCATAAACTCAGTAATCCAAGTATTTGTAAAATTTAGCAGTACTTGATTCGCATGGGAATTTCTAAATTCAACCATCTTAAGGGGTAGAGGTGTAAGGCCGGTTAATAGGGGGCATGAATATGATCAAAATACATCATACACATTGAATTTCGCCCAAAACAATTATGTGATACTGGGGATGGGCTGTTTAAGGATGTTGATTGAGTTACTTGCATGCACCCGAAAAAGTCCTCTCAGTATTTGTTACCTCTTTTAATACATCAGCGCCTGACAATATGAAAAATGATAACCCTATTTTAAACTTGAAATGTATACAGTCAGTCACCTTTTGTATACTTTCCAGATTACCTTTTTAACAGTCACAAAAGTAAATACTGTAGATGTAAATGAGAGTACTAAGAGAGGCTTCTTAGTTCTCAATTTTAGAGCAGTTTCATCAACTATTTTCACCGTTTAGTTGCTCTTTACTTTAAAAAAAAAATTTCTGTAGATGAGTGGCCTCTGAGAGGTCCCTAAGCAATTGTTTTTGTGGTTTATTTTAAAATATACGAGTGGGGCTAGGGATTTAGCTCAGTAGTGAAAGTGCCAGCCTGGCAATCAGGAGACTCTGAGTTCGATATCTGGTAGGAAAGAGAGAGGAAGAAGGGGAAGAGGAGGGGGAGAGGGAAGAATGTGGGATTGTGGTTTTGGAGGAAAAGGTCTGTGTACTTTCAGATTAAATGAATAATACAAAATTTCAAAAAAATAAAATACAGTATATGAATTACATGCTCTAGACATATTTTACTTAGTAGATATTTTGCTCCAGATACTGAAGGGCTTATACCCTTGGACATTAAAGAAATTGAGGTTGCTCCTATTGCAATGGATCAGTTGCATAATAGGCTGGATCCAAAATAGCTTATGCATATAGGCTTGATGAAGAAAGGTGAAAAATTAGGACACTCTCTTAGGAATCCAAAAGGAAGGATTTTTTTTTTGCTGATCTGCTCATTGACAGAAGATTAAAAAAAAAGTTAAAACGCAAGCTCCTTGAAGTTCAGTTATATTTTGTTAGAATCAGCTCTTTCTTTGTTGCAGTGGAAGTTATTCAGTAGTACAGCTTCATTTATTAGTTATCTGTGAGATGCTTTGAAAGTGAAGTGTTAGGTAAATGAAAGAGAGTTTTATGTCTTTCCTACCTCTGTGTCTTAGTATGCTAGTGGAGATACCTCATTTTGAAAACTCACCTGAAGTTTTAGCAAAGCAAAGACTATTGGTTAAGCGACTACTAAAGGGAATTCTGCAAGCGGCTGGGAGGTAACAGTAAAGAAAATAGATGTTCTAATGGTCTTATTTCTAACTTTAGATTAATACCTGAATGATAAGGGTAGAAAATGATTTGTTTTCTGCTTGGTAAAACAGTAGAAGTCAAATGATTAACTCATCCTAACACCTCTGTTCTTGTTGACCAAATGTCAACAAGACATTCTGATATGGTAAAGATAGAAAAGCCCCTGGCTACAGGCAACTCTTGGGGAAAAAAGGAGAATAGCATACCCTTCCCCAAAAGGAAAATCACTTCAGTAATCTGGTTAGTCAGTGCTTATTTGGGTTCTTATGAAGAATACTATATCCTGCATTTCTATATCTTATAACCATGAGAGCTTTAAGAAATACTTATGTCTGGGCCCAGTCCCAAAGCAATTAAATCAGAATGTCAGGAGAGGCTTAGATAAAAAATAATGTCCAGAGACATCTTTGGGTCTCTTTGTAATTTTGTGTTCTTTTATTGGTAGACTGTACCGAACTTTCCAGTGAAACTTTTTGGGGAAAGACTAAAAGCATACTTTTATATGATTTAATCCAAAGGATAGATTAAGCGGCTCCATTGATAAAGATACTGCTATTATTAATATTCTGTATATATTTTCTACAGCCTGCTTTTGATCCTGACAATGTGAGTTACTGGATTAAGGTAAGAATATTTCAAAATTGGGTAGAAGAATAATTTAGAGTCAAGTATCATCAGGTGAAAAAGAAATACTAATACATTTTTGACTAGGACATACTTTACTATGTTTTAGAAAAAAATACTAATAGATCTGTGATCTGCACTTATTTTACCATTTTTATTACCCTATTGTCATATAATTTGTCTCAATTTTATACTTTTAATTATAAGTATAAAATACAATCAAGTATTATTTTTAATACTAGTAATAATAATAACAATTACATTTCATTATTCTGTTTTTGATGAAAGCATTTAAGTGTGGATGATGAGAGGTGTGTGGTTATGCCCTTTCAAATGTCATGAGTATTCCATAAAGAGGGGAAAAGGAGCAATGGAAGGGAAGCGCTTCTTGGATGATTAAAGACTGTACTATAGTTACACTGACACGGGACCAACCGGTAAAAGCTACATGTGTATCATAAGAATTTTCTAGTATTTAGAACAATCCAGAAATGGGGTGAGCATCCTCATAAAGGGATGTTTTCTGTCACTGGGGGTATTCTGGTAGACTCTAAAAGGACACTTAATGTTAGGCTAATAAAGAATATATGTGAACATTCAATGACAGGGCATTGGATTAGGTTACTTCTGAAATTTCTTTCAGTCCTCAGATGTATATTTCTGAGTCTCAGATACCATAGATTGAAAGTACTTTTAATCCACTTCAGGGGCATTTCCTCTGAGTACCAGTTTAGCAGCTTGCTGTGGTCACTTCAAATGTGTATTATAGTTCAAAATCATACAGCATTTTTCTGGGAAAATGTCCTCTGTCAGGTAGTATTTTGAAGGGTTATTACCTAAATAGACATGCAGTATGAGCACAAAGCCAGATGGGCTGGTACTTATTAAGTGCCCACTGAGTACTAACCAACTATGTTGGGCACTAGAGCTTGAACAGATATGGGGCAAGTGCAGTCTTTGAGCACCCAGAGTATTTGGTCTTGTGGAGTATGAAAAGCTTACCAGAAATCAGTGGAAAAATCAAAGATGTTACAGAAGCTTGTGGCGGAGAGGCATTCATCTGGATGGGGCAGGAGAGGCTTCCTGCGGCTGCAGAAGGTGTGATTCAGAAGGCTGGCCTGTGAGAGGACCATTCAACATCCAGTGAGCCTAGTTTGCATGTGGTTTTGAGAGTTCCTGTGCCAGGTGCCTGCAGGGCTTTCTGACATAGCTAGTTACCATCTCTTCTGGAGTAATCTTTTAGTTAAGATTTAAGTAAAATAGGATTAAAATTCTGCTCTGTCTTATCTGTACCATTTCCCTGTTTCATACAGCCATGAACCAATTTGACTGAGATTTTATCATTTCTACAGTAGCTCTCTTTCTTGCTACTATGCCCTCAAATATCTCATCTGAACAAAAATCTGTAAGTCTTTTGTTTGACCATGCAGTCCATTTCAATTGCTGAATGATTTCATTTTCTTATCTAAAGTCTTTAGATGTATAGTCTGAATTCCTTGCCTAAGTATTTTAATTACTCTTTCATGCACACATTTATTTTCATTCAGTTTCCATTTCTTTCTTTTTTTTTTTTTTTTTTAATTTGGTACCAGGAATTGAACTCATGACCACCTGCCTGCCAGGCATGCACTTGTGCCAGTGAGCTAAATCCCTGGCTCCATTTTCCATTCCTTAGTTCAGTTTCTATGCTATAGAAAGTGTTATTAAAAATGACTTCCTGGTCAAATCCAGCAGTTCCTTAATAGTTCTCAAACTTTTTCAATTTGCATTTGTTACCTCCTTTTTACTCTAGAAATCCTCTCCTCAATTATTTTTTCTTAGCACTGTTTTTGCTTGCTTGTTCTGTTACCTCTGCTCAGTCCTCTGTCTTCTGATTTCCTCTCTAACATATACCAACTATGCATAAACCCTCAACAGTTACAATGAGCTCCAAATCCACTTGAGTGGACCACACTCAAAATCAGCTGAGGCTATGTTGTGCAGAAAGAGCAGGGAGTATCTGGAAAGGGTATGGAGGAGACTGAAGATTAAGAAAGGCCTTGCTTTAGAACAGAAAAGGAAGATTGCTCAGCAGCACTGGGGACCTATCACAATTCTTCATAGTACCAAAATTGGCAAATTAGATTGATCCAGGTTTGGAGGTTTTCATTGCAAAGGATTCGAGAATGATGTGACGTAGTAGTTGAAACATCCACACTGAGTAGGTAGGGAGGAGGAGGACCCTTTAAGAGACTCATAGATTAGGAAGAAAGAATGACCAATGGTGACTAGAGGGCTTGTTTAGGTCTGATATTAATGTGAGAGCAGAGGGGATGAAATGGTAGTGGATAGAAAATTGAAGTTAGTGAGAGCATTGTCAGTTTGGTTCAAGGAATGAAAAATTCTGCAAGACATGTTCAGAGTGACTGCATGAGTGGGTTGCTAAAGTGGGGTTGAGGGTGAAGGGTGTTGGACAGAGAATCAAGCAAATCTTGAGGCTGAGGTAATAGGTCAGTCATCCTCAGGGATGTTGAAATCCCTTAGAATCGGCTAGATATTTGGCTAGTCCTGTGAGTCCTGTGACAATTGAACTAAAGTGCAGCAGTCTGTGCTTTATAGTTCCTCTTTATCCCAATTCTGTGAGCTTTCTAAACATTTCCAACTTAGCAGTTTTCCACTCGTGGACATTCAGTGGTTTTTCGTGCATCAGATGAAATTGTAAATCGCAGATGGCCATTTAAAATATATTGTCAATCTGGCTATAATATCAAGTATCGTGAAGCAGGCTGTATACTGATACTCTGTGTGCATCCTGCATCTGTCAGGCCATTCCCCTTACCATACATTAGATAGAGGTGTGTGTGTGTGTGTGTGTGTGTGTGTGTGTGTGTGCACAAATTTATATAGGCTGATCCCACCTGGAATACCTACTCCTTCAGCCTGGAATCTCTGTCCTCTAAAAGGACAATCCATAGCTTTCCCCTGTAGCTCAGTTTAAAATGCCCTGTGGTAAATAAATCCCCATCACCTACCTCAACCACCTAATCCCATCCTTTGATACTTTTCCTAAGAATTACTTTGGCATTTATACATTCATTTGTTGATACAGTATCAAATATTTGCTTTTATACAGCAAATTAAAAAGAATTAGGCACTTAAAAAAATACATTACAGGGGCTGGGGATTTAGCTCAGCAGCATAAGCACCTACCTTGCAAGTGCGCAGTCATGTGTTCAGTCCCTGGTGCAAACAAAAGGGCTGGGGATTTAGCTCAGCGGCATAAGTGCCTGCCTTGTGAGCGCAGAGTCTTGGGTTTAATTCTCGGTACAAAAAAAAAATATATATATATATATATTTATATTTATATAAATATTTATATTTATATAAATATTATATAAATATTATATAAATATTTATATGTATATGTATGTATACACACACATATATTACAAAGCTACTATGAATGAACATGCAATATTCATACAGGGTCTGTTAAACTTGTGTTTGTGTTGCTTAGTCTTGAAGAAATGACAAGCTACTTTGTAACCAGTCTTTCTGCCTTCCTGGGGATCCTTGGGACCTGAGGCCCATTTGTAAGATCATAGGAATGACTGAGACATTTCCCTTACAAATGATGTGTTTGTATATAAGATAGGTACCGGGTAATCAACTTTTGAAGGTGTTCCAGTTCTGTTAAAATCACTGTCTTGCCTTAGAACTCTTCAATTGTTAATGGTACACATGCAAATGGAACAAACTAAAAACATGAACTCTTTAAGAACAAAAAGCTTTTGCATCTCCCTCTTCCAATACTGACTACAGTGCTGGGAACAGAACAGGGTTTCTACCAGACTTATTAAAAATATAAATTGACACAGTGTTTTACTGAAATATAGGCTAGACCTCTTCTCTTATGTACAGTGATGCCTTGGTTCATGAACTCAGTTCTCTCCACAGTTCTGGCCACAGATCAAACTAGGTGACAACTGAGTCAAGTTTCCCCAACATTGAATCTAACCATTAGTCAGCGTTGAACCTAACCATTAATTTGATTTGGTTCTTGTCTAGTATGGTTTGCGGTCAAAATTGTGGAAAGGGTTTAAATTTAAGAACTGAGATACCATTATATTTATTTTTCAGAGGCTAGTAAAAAGGAAATACTTTCTTGATATATTAGGATACACGTAACGATCACATTCGTCATAGAGAATTTGAACCTGTACTTGATACAGCTTGTTTTCCATTCCCCTACCCTCCCTTCATCCCTCCTCTCCTCCCCACTTACAAAGTGTTGTTTCCATGTTTTCCTTCTTGTCTCATTTCTTCTACTTTTTCCTTTCTGCTTCCCCTTTTTCTTGTTCCCTTCCTCATTTGAACATTTTAAAAGGAAATATTTTTTAAAAAATACCAAGATTATTTCTGATCCTTAGTATCATCTCATAGGTGAAGAAATAAATCTTTGTTTTAAGTGATACCCCCACACTTGCTCAGTTAAGAGCCTCACAGACATTTGTACTTACTTCTTTGTTAGCGCATACCACACTTCATACCTAGGTCAGTCTTGTCCTCTTAACCCGCAAGACTGCCTGCTCTTAAAAACCTGACAAATTCCAGCTCAGATGAGAACACATCAAGCATCATTATTTTTCTTACTCATTGGCCTGAGGAACCAAGTCATGTCCACAAATATGTTGTTTGTTTGTTTGTTTGTTTGTTTGTTTATGGGTGTTAATTTAGAAAACTAAAGTTCACTAATTAATTTCTACCTTATCTGCATATACCGTATTGTTTATGTATGTATATACTAACATAGTGTACTATGTGAAATTCATCCTGCTGTCTTAGAATTTAAGAATCCAAAGAGAAAGACTTTATCAACTGTAAATGCAATAAGTGGCATACGCCGCCAACATGAATTTGGACAACCCATGGGCTGTGACAAATTAATTGGAAAAACATGTCTCCACATGTTACCAGCCACTTAGGTTCATATGTTTAGGTTTCTTTGCTTAGACTTGCTA